TACATGTACATGTAATATTACCATAAATGTGCATGTAGTGCCACCACAGATGTACAGGTCATACAGGTCACCCAACTGCAGTATACATCTACGTGCAGTATTACCATACATGCATGTGTAATGTTACAGTAATGTTACTTTAATGTACATGCACATATACTGCAGCCATACATATAATCAAGAGCTAATAATACCTTTATTATTAGCTCTTAATATAAGCTTAATAAATTATTAGCTCTTAGTATTATTAGCTCTTGATATAATGTAGTGCCACTATACATGTACATGTAATGTCACCCACCGGACATTTACATTTAGTGTCACTATACATGTATGGTTACTGTAATGTACATGTACGTGTACTTACACTGGCAATACATGTATGGCAGCATTACCCGTATGGCAGCAGTACATGTACATGTACATTACACGTAAATGTGTATACATTAATGAGTCCATGTCTGCTGCCATACGATATAATCATTAATGTATGTACACATTTACGTGTAATGTACATGTACATGTACTGCTGCTATACGGGTAATGCTGCCATACATGTATTGCCAGTGTGCAGACCCTGCCCTTCGTACATGTCGCCAGGAACACATAAAAACACGGGTAGTTATTTACTCCCAAGTAATGCCAGTATGCAAGTCTGTCCATGCCACCATACACACAACGCCACCTGACGTGTATTGCTACCGTGCAGGTGGCGCCACCTTTTGGTTTGTAGGAAATGGGGCGTACAGGCTGCGCTGCTTGCTGTACACGTAAAATTTCATTCTGCAAATATGTACTATAAAGATCATTTTTGCAGCGGCAGCCTGTCTGCGTGCGTGCGTGCGTGCGTGCGTGCGCGGTGATGTACTGGTAACGAAATTAGAGGGTTGGGGGTTGTCACGCTAGGATGCTTGCGCTGCGTCTGCGGTTGTGTGCGTGTGCGTGTGTGCGTGTATGTGTGTGTGTGTGTGTGTGTCGGCGTGTGTAGAGCTAGAGCTGGTTTATGGGTGTCAGTGGCATGATGCATGTCTGTCAATATTTACGCGGCAGGCTCGGCTGCGCAGGGGTGATCTCTTCTTCTATCGACTGTAGTGAGCTTAAGTGCACAGCCGTGTACTACAGATATCTCCCGCTATTCCGGGGAGGGGCAAGTACATAACGCGCGCATACACGCATACACGCATGCGCGCATGTTCACACTCGCGGCCAACTGCGCAATTTTACCAGGAAGACGTATAAGAGGGAGTGCGACATATTTCTAAAATTCGACATTTACGAACCTTGCTCTACCTGCGATTGCGCCTTGCTATTTCTTACTTCCTCGTATGTGTATATCATGACCATTTATTGCTGCCTGCCATGTAATTTGTAACACGCACCTATGTACGTTACGTTTACCTATAAGACGTAGGGAAGGAGTTACCCATCTGATAGCCCGACCAGGCTGTGCGACGGATTGTCTATTGTATTGTAACCCTAGCAATACCTTTTCTTGGAGCTACCCATCTGACAGCATATCTTCGGTACACTGACGGGAAGGGTGGTTACATATTTATGCAAAATTCGCTCGTGCACATTGGCCTGTAGGGCACAGACGCGCCGGGTAAATATCTGTGTGGAAAACAGGAGCGGCCTGAGGCCTGGTGGCCGTGTGTTTGTTATAGCAGTAGCGCATGAGATACAATCAAGCTATATGCTTTTATAGTGCTGACCCGGCCTGAGACTCGTTTTCCACTCTAATACGTGGATAGTTTCTATACGGAAACAAAAGCAAATAGATTTTGGTAGCGTGTAGGATTTTAATTCTTGATATTAATGTACTTTTACTGTACTGGTTAATAGTACAGTAGATGTATTCTCTTTCACATGTAGACTGCGCGTGCGTGTGTGTGTCAGCTGTGTGTACATGTATATTTTGAATACGTTTTGTTTGTAAATTATCAGTCTTGGTTAAGCAGAAGTGGTTAAATCCGTGGCGATTCATGTATCCTAGGATGTAAACGGATGTTAGCCACAGAAATGTCTCAATTCAACAGTAAACATGCACGCACGGCCAGCGCCGTCACGAGAAGAAAATTCAAGCTTTCGTTTTCTGGCTTCGCGAGAACATTTGGAGGTAACTCACGCGCGTTCGTTCTTCCTCTCTCATTTCAGAGCGCAAACGCTTTAGCTTGCAGCCATGACGACGGACATACGCGTGCGATGGGAGCCCGACCAGGAGATCACAGAGGATGAGGACAACAGTTCATCGAGATTGTTTGAGCGGGCCAGGATCAAAGCCCTCGCAGGTACGTGTCACGTGTGCATGTGCGTGAGCATGTCGTATGCACGATGGACAGGTATAGGATTAGCAGACACATCTATAGAGAACTATCTACTGCGGACTCTTGGAGTTTCTCTTGAGTGTCAGTCATGCACAGGACTGGTTTGATCAATGCATAGCAGCTAAGTTACGAGGAGCAGGAGAGATTCGATCAAGTCATGCAACGCACCACTTCTGTGGTAATTTGAGATTCATCAGTCTTAGGACAATGCGATACCTTTGTGGTTATTTCGGATACCACAGGCTTTCTGTACAAAAATGCGTCACCTTTTCTAATTATCATGGGGTCCTCAGGTATTGTGCGACGTGTACTACAAGGGTCTTTGTGGTCACTAGCAGTTGACGAGCGTACTGTACACATAACATTGAGGGTTTGCGATGGTAATTCTCGTCGCGGCGTGTGACGATCCGGGATCAGGAGTTATCCCTGCGACGTTGGTGATAATAATGCTCGAAAATTTACGCTCTGGTAATGTTCGATTTGGAAGCTGCGGACGCTCGCAGAGGTGGTAAAAGCTGCCGGTGTTATGTCGATTAATATTGACATTGCACTTATCGACTTCAATACGGTTTACGCGCGACCATTATACGTCCGCTAATGTCGCCAACGAATAATTCCCGAGAGGATCGTGAAATATGTTGCGAGCATGCGCGTTTGCAAGGACGTTTAGTCACCATGCTGATTCCGCTCGCGAACTTTGACCGCGAACGTTGTGTGTGTGTGTGTGTGTGTGTTTGGGGGGGGGGGTATGCGTTCGTGTGTAAACAACGAAGGCAGACAGTAGTCACGATAAATACCACCATGATTGTTTAGCGACGACGCGATCGTGACGCCACCCGCGTCCTAAAATCTTCGCCGACTAGAGTCGGCCGGGAAGCGAGAGTTAAGACGCACATTAAAAATAGTAACATATAATATATATAACATATATTCGCACTGCCTCACTTCTGTATCGGGTCCCGGCGATTAAGAAATTGAGCGCCAATCGCAAGGCGGCGGGCGTAATCTAGGGGAGATAAGTTGCAGATAGGGGCGATGACGATATCCTATATACCTGGGCAGGTGCGAGAGGTTCCAGGTAGAGCAGGTGTGGCAGGTAGAGCACAGAGCACGCTCGGTGGTCACAGTGGGAGTGGTACTGTGTGACCCGCTCACTCGCTCGCGTCGTGAAGATTTCGTTACGTCTCATCAGGCAGAAGCCCCCGTCCTGATTAGCCGAGCTGATCTGCATAAACTCGGTTCGTCAGTCAGTGCAGTCGTTGGCGATTCCGGCGTTGCGCGGTGAGGACATATCGATCACGTCGTGTCGTTAGGTGCGAGGATTCCTTCACTGCGTAGGTTCCGTCGTCGCGTGGATTCTATCGTCGAGTCGTCCGGATATCTAGTCGGGGATCCGGTGTCGTGGCACCGAGCACGGACGTATCGATCGCGTCGTGAAGTTCGGAGGATTCCATTGTCGTGTAGATTTTATCGTCGAGTGGATTCTATCGTTGCGTGGATTCTAGGTGTAGATATCTAGCCAGGGTGTGGGATCCGGTGCGGGTGGGAGCGGAGTAGCTGGTGCGGATCGCGCGCAGCACGCGTGCGTGACGGCGTAACCACCGGTCACGCGTCGACGAGGTATCGCAGTGAGAGCAGACGCCCCGCGAGCGTGCGCGTGTGTGAGCTAACGTCTCAGCAGCACGCTTCCAGGAGAGACTCCGGACGACGCGGAGACGTGTAGCGGATCTACGTCGGTGACAGTCGCGAATAGCCACGCAGCCCGGTAGCGCCACCTACGTTAACGCGCGTCTCGCGTCGCGGCTCATCGGGCGACGAATGCTGTCGCTGGCACGTCTATCGTGAGACCGACCGTGAGGCCGGCGGCATGGCGGAGACAGAGGGCGCCGGCGGCATGGCGGGGACAGAGGGCGCCGGCGGCATGGCGGAGACAGAGGGCGCCGGCGGCATGGCGGGGACAGAGGGCGCCGGCGGCGCAACGCGGCATCGCAGCAACATCGACAGCCTCATCGTCGAGCTGGAGAACGTAGACTTCTTCGAGGTCGACGAGACCGGCGTGCACGTGACGTCCCACCAGGGGGAGCCGCGTCACACGGACGCGTCGCCGCCGAGCGGGACCGGCCGCCCGGCGGACGATTCGTGGCTCGGGGAGTCGCCCGGCGCGAGGGCGCCACCGCCGCTCGAGAATGGCCACCAGGCGGACGACTCCGACAGCGAGGTGTTTCACTTCACTGGGTCGCCGCCGATGATCAAGAGTGACTCGGACAGCGAGGTTTTTAGCTTCGCGGGGGCGCCGACGATGTACGGCCTCCAGGGGGCGTACGAGGAGTCGCCCGTGACGTCTCAGAAGGTGCGCAGCAGCGCGCGCGTGCCGTCGGCCGTGCGGCCATACGACTGGGGCGGCGGTGTGTGGTGGGGCAGCGGCGAGCAGGCATCCGGCAGCGAGCCGCCGGACATGCGCGACATTTCCGCGGCGATCGTCTACGACGTCAAGATCAGACGCGTGCGAGGTAAGGTCACGGTCGCGTGCGTGCGGGTCGTGGTCAAGGTCAGGTGTGGCCGAAGGAAGATAGGAATGATGGTAGAAGTGCGCCGAAGTGAATGCGTGGGCGTGTCGACGCTGTCGCGACAAGATCTAATCGGGAAGATGTGGTTTTTGGGACGATCTCTCATCACTGCTCGTCTCGGGGAATGTATTTCACTGACGCGGTTGTTGCGTGGCTTCTGCTAACAGACTGTGTGTAGACGTAGAACATGTGAATACGTGTGCAAGCCACTGTCGCGAAACCAATTTACTGTTCGCAAACAACTGGGCGGCATGTTCGATCGCGCGAAATTACTTGGCGGCACGAAGACCGTAATTACGCATCGTTAATGCAAATTAAGTCTACAGTTCAGTCGGTAATCGTCCGTGCTGCGCTCTGCGTTGACTGCTGTTCGCTTGTCCTTAGCTAGGTTTCACGCTGTGTGGGTGAGAATAGGGAAGCAGCAGGCCTCTGCGCTGGTATTTCACGCTATATATTTCACGTTTTTAGAAGTTTAATTAAGTCTTCGAGAAAGAATACCTAATATCATGAAAGTCAAATGGTCGAATTTTTCCATGTAAGGCGTACTGGGAATTTAACGTCAGTTAAAGTTGGAAAGTCAGTTTTAACGATTCACGGATTCATGCAGCCACTTAATCACAATACTTCGAGTTAGGGTAACACCGTGCTATTTTCCTTACCCTTCGTACGCTCAAGGGCAGATAATACTATGATAGAATGACAGCCATATTAGAATGATAAGAATATATAGAGAATAATAGAGCAACAGTAGTAGAATGATAAACTTGCATGTTGTCATATTCTACCACGGCTAATGCTAACAACAGACCAACGCACGGCCATGTAAGAATTCCATTTCTACCGAGTTTTACATGCTTGCCGGGTGGCAATATCGCGTGAAGGCGTCTCTAATGATGCTCCACAACCTATGCAGTTCTCCCAGCCTCTATTATCAATCTCATATAGTAGAGTATAGCGAGCAGTAGTCTGGTTCATTCACGCACGCAGGACGAGTGTATCGACTGGCTGCTGTGATGGATGGATGCAGCACGCATTAAGGTGATGCAGCACGTATTAACGTCATGTTATACGCGCGAACATTGCACACTTACTGCTTAGGTCGCTGACACGGCCCCACCCCACGATCACCTGTCGTTAAGTACAGCTAGTATATATATAAATCGCGCTCCCCCGCGCGAGTGTCCAGTTTCCAGTCAATCCGTCGGAAACGGTGGAGCGGCCACGCTCGCTCAGAGCGGAGTAAGATTTCACCGATGATGACATACGGATGACGCGCGATGGTGCGTCGTGCGCATGCGCGCGCTCTGGGCGCTGTAACCCTGATCCAATTCGATTATGCTGTCCGGATTCTCCGGACTCTCCATTTCCATTCGATTACTGGTCACATGACCATTTCTGGAGAGTTCGGACTCTCCAAACTTTCCATTTTTTCGACCGGTGCGATAGCGGAGAGGATTATTGTCAACATTGTAAGTATTAGTAACACACGAAAATCGGATGCACTACACGGATTGGTGCATAAAATGTGTTAAAAACCAGAAAATTTGGTTTGAATAACCGAAATTCAGACTAAATGTCGCCATTCTGCCATTTTGTCACGTGACCTACGTGACAAAATGGCAGAATGGCGACATTTAGTCTGAATTTCGGTTATTCAAACCTAATTTTCTGGTTTTTAACACATTTTATGCACCAATCCGTGTAGTGCATCCGATTTTCGTGTGTTACTAATACTTACAATGTTGACAATAAAACTATAGATCCCTTTTTCCCTTGGTATGATTGAAATTTGTAGTATCATCGTTGAGAATCAACAACGTGGGGGCCGCCATCTTGGTGCCCCACTTCTATTCTATTTCGCATAAATCCGGTAGGATCCGGACTGGAGAATGTGAAGAGTCCGGACTACATAATCGAATTGGCCCCCTGCGTGCGTGCTAGGGAGCCTCGTTGTAGATTGTTTCGCACGTCGTTTTGGGTGCGTGCCGGTTAGTCGCGATTGCTGATGGAATTACGATGGCGCTCGTCTGTCTTGCGAGAGGCTGCAGCTGGGAGAGAAGGGCGAGGAGGAGGTAGGGGAAGAGGATAAGGAGAGGAGAGAATATTATGACATCGAGTAGAAGAGGGGAGATAGATGGGCATAGAAGGGGCAGAGGACAGAAGAGAAAGGAAGGAGATGGGGGAAGAGACAGAGAAGAAGTAGGGAGAGGTGAGGCGGAGGGAGTGGGGGAGGAAAGGGGAGAGAGGAGGCGGCGTGTGTGTAGTGCATAAATGAGGCGTGTAGCGTCGCCTGGTGCGACCGGCTGTTTGCTTAACCTTGACAGCGCGAGGGGAACGAGGAGATGATGATGATGGATGAGGGAGGAGGAGGAGGAGGGAGGAGGAGGAGGAGGGAGGAGGGAGGAGGAGAAGGAGGATGGCAGGGATTGTAATGGTGACCGTTGAGCAGTGATCAATGAGCAGCACACAGCACGCACGCATGCACTCACTGTCACAGACAAACACGCACACATGGTTTATGACAGCGTGATGACACAAGCATGTAATAGCGGCCAGTGTAATCAGTCTAATTACGTTTTACACGTAGAGCCCCCCCCCCCCAGAGACGTGAATAAAATGGCGTGATATTATGTCGAATGCTAACGCAGTCAGTAAGTGCAACATATATTTTAGGGTCATTGATGTCCAAGCGTGCATTTCCCTACATGTCACATATGTTACTCTGAGATGATTGTCTCATTACTGGTTTCCGTGTTTACCTATTTGCGCTCAATGTTGTGGGTGTTAATATGGTTACCGCATTTCCCTAGCTCTTAGGTGGACATTGTTCATGTATTTCTCTACCTGCAATACATGTTGCTTTATGTATCTCTTCCCATATTTCTCTACTTCTACATGATGATCTGTATGCCTGTGTGGGCATGCGTGCGTGGGTGTATGGTTCCTATATTTCCCAACTTGTACCAAATGCTACTTTGTTTATCTCTTCCCATATTTCTCTACGTCTATCTAATGCTCCGTATATCTGTGCGTGCGTGGGTGGGTGTGTGTGTGTGTCTGTATGGTTCATATATTTCCCTACTTGATGCTCAATGCAACCGTGTGTCTCTACATGGCTGGCCAGCGCGATGTTTATGCCGTGTGTATACTGCACGTCCGTTTGTTTTAAGAAATATCGTATCTGCCTGCCGTTACTTCCTGCAGCAGCAGCAGCAGCAGCAGCAGCAGTGCCACGGGGCACGGCTGTCACTGCCAGCTTCAGCGAACACCCACACACGCACGCACGCACGCACTCACGTACGTAGCTCTGCACTAACACCGCCAAGGGCTTGGCTATGTTTGCCATGCCAAAGTCCACGGGTGGAGAGTGTCAGTTATTTAACTAACCGAAGTACAGTGTTATTTATGGCATTTTTTGGTGTGTGCCCATGTTTACGGACACATATTTACGGGTATATGGGGTATTTTTTTCTCGGAGGAGTTCCAGCGAAAACTAGTTCATGGACACCTAGACAATCAAACTAGACAATCAAACTGGACAATCAAAATAGACAATCAGATCTAGACAATCAGATCTAGACAATCAAACTAGACAATCAAACTAGACAATTTAAACTAGACAACGGCAGTGTGACAATCGCTGTCACAATGTGATGCGCGGACATGCATCGTTCCACTTGTACTGCCAGCCGGCAGAAGTGCATTAGCGTGCTCCTCCTCACTGAGATTATACTGGCGTTATAGCAGCTGAAGCTCCCTCGCTGATTGGCAACCGCTGGCCCCGAGGGGATAACAGGGGGAAAGGTCAGCTTGCACGCGGCCATGCTGCGGCAACGATTTTTTTCTCTCTCTGCTGCCTGGTAACAGTCGTTGCTTCAGCAGTAGAGCCTTATTACGGTAGGGACCTCACCCCACCACGCCACAGTAAATATTGTTGGCAAAATAGCCGAGCCATATTTCATGGGTTTATAATCTCTCTTCAAATATGTATCTGGGAGATTCTAGCGAGGCGCTGTTGTTGTTGGGAAGCTGGCAGAGGTGATGTGATGGAACTACTTGGCATGATGGGTGGTGGGGTGGTGGGCGATGTTGTTAGTGTAAAAGATTAGTACTCGCGTTTTCCACGTGGAGAATTAGTCTGATAAGATTTCGAAGACACACGTTTCAGGACGAGTTTCTGCGAGTGAACACAATTAGATTTCTGTGAGCTGGGAGCGGAGAGATGGAACTTAGGGTCATCACGCGCATTTACACGTAATTTGTAGGCAGCCGGCGTGTAATGCCGTGCCGCGTTTTCTTCTCTAGTCGCCGTCGAACCTCCGTCTCGAAATTCACACTCGAAAAATTTTGTCTGCGCACTTACGGCCGCTAGTTGCGCCGGGTCTTTCATTTCGAGTCGGTCGGGGAACGGAACGTGTGAGCGCACGCAGTTGTCTGGATCACCGGTGTTATTCTGCAGATGAGAGAGTGAGCTTCTGTAATCATGCGCGGTGTGTGTGTGCGCGCGCGCGTGCTTCACGTCAGGTTAGAGCGAACAGAAGTAATCGTACGCACTCTCCATTCTTTCACAGATGAGAGAGTACAGCCATAACCTCCCTTCGGGAGAGGATGTAAGCTGTAGATGCCCCATTAGTTAGATTGGGGTTTAGGGTAGTCGTGAAACGCTAAATAAAATATACGAAAAGGGACTCATAAATGTAAATTATTCTTCAATGAATGTAGATCATCATGTAGTTGATCATGAAACTCTTGTCTTCTCATGACACCCACCCCCGCCTCACTGTGTACGTTGACTGGGAGCTGCACCACGCCCTCAGTATTAGCCTGCTGAGTCGTGAAGTGTTTGTTGCCTGTAGGAATTTGGCTAGGCTACGGCCCTGGAAAGAAGCCAGAAATAATTGAGCATGCTTTCCCTTCTTGGATGAGAGAGAGAGAGAGAGAGAGAGAGAGAGAGAGAGAGAGAGAGAGAGAGAGAGAGAGAGAGAGACATTGCTGCAGATTTTCAGCTTGCATAATCATATACATCATGCATTCCTTTCCTTGATGAGAGAAAGAGTGAATAATCATGTGCATGTCCTTGCTTTCCGTAGATGAGAGAGAGTTGGTACAGAAGAAGACGTTCACTAAGTGGGTGACGTCGCACCTGCTGCGCATGAACAGCCGCGTCGGGGACCTTTACGTCGACCTGCGAGATGGCAAGATGCTGCTCAAGCTGCTCGAGATCCTGTCGGGAGAGAGACTGGTACGTAGCGCCCCCTGCTGGTCTGCTTACCCTGGCCCCTGCCCCGTACTGCCCTGTCAGGAGAGAGACTGGTACGTAGCGCCCCTGCTGGTCCGCTTACCCTGGCCCCTGCCCCGTACTGCCCTGTCAGGAGAGAGACTGGTACGTAGCGCCCCCTGCTGGTCTGCTTACCCTGGCCCCTGCCCCGTAGCACCCCCCGCATCACCCTGTTGGGTGAGAGACTAGTATGTAGCGCCCCCTGTTGTTTCCCATGGGCTCGACCCATTCCTACTCACCCCGGGAACTGGGTCTGTATGAAGACGGAATTGACGTGGCGCCCCCTGCTGTCCTGCACCGCCGCTTACCATGGGAATGAGAAAGCTGCGCTTCCACACAGGTGCAAGCTGCATCTGTTTTGCCATTTGTCCCCCTTATTAACACGTTGAACGCTACATGTTTAACAATGCGCCTACCGCCCTGTGCTGAGATTTTCGCATTTTTACCGCTTAGTCACCTATTACACAAAATGTTTTTGGCAGGTTTAACTAGCTATACAATTATTTATAATTAGTGGCTAGTATAATATAGATATAAACTTACTCTCAGACATCAAAACAACACCGGAATCTATCACCCATGATCTATCAAATCAATCACAAATTTCAGACATAAAAACAAATTCAAAACACACGGCGGTCAAACGCCCTTTGGCGAGGTGAACTAAATACATTACCTCAGTCCAAAAAACTCCCAAAATAACGTTCCAAACAACAGTAAAGTATTGTATAAATTATGTCATCTACTACTGGGGTATATACAGTGACGCTGTTGAAATTGCTAAGCGTACAGCTTATGCCATCTATAGGAGAACATAGTAAACGTTCCAAATTAATTTTAATTTTAAATTTTTTTTTTTGCCACGAGTATCCTCGTGTTTCGCGGCCGTGCGTTTTGCAGGTTCGAACGAGTATACTCGTGTTTCGCGTTGAACGTGTTAAAGCATTCTCGCTATCCTGTGTGACCCCCCCCCCCAATTACACTATTTGACGCAATGTATGTTTCCTACCATTTCCCCTCCCCATTTGCACTGGCAGCAAGAACAAGCCCGCACGTACAGCACACACGCAGCCATTGACTATATATAACAACATTGTTATATATAACAACGTTGTTATATATAGTCAATGGCCGCGTGTGTGCTGTACGTGCGGGCTTGTTCTTGCTGCCAGTGCATTTGACCAGTACACGTCAGTTGGAGTTTTTAAGTTTTTTTTCGGATGGTAACATTGCCACAAGGCGTGGTGACGTGTGCACAGTGGCCATGTTGTTATAGACAGTCTCACAAAATTCTTCGGGCAAAACAGCTATTTGTGTGAGTTGTTTTTTTGCACCAGTGGTTGCGTGATGGTGACCCAAACGTGCGTACGTAGATAGCAAGGTAACCTTGAACAAAGGTCATAAGTTGCTTGGGTTAAAGGAGAAAACATGGTGTCAACCGTGGCCAGCTATGCGGGAGAGAGAGGGATGGGAGATAGGGAGAGAGAGAGAGAGAGAGAGAGAGAGGTATAGATAGAGAGAGCGAGAGCGGGAGAGAACTCATGGGGAAAACTTGTTTTTAATTCGTTTGTTTTCGCAGGGAGTTCAGTGCAGTTTCCATCAACATGTGAAGGTTGTGTTGTCTGTCAGGCGTGCTCGCGTCCGTCCTGTAAAAGGGACGCTGAATATTTCCGGCTTCATAGACAAAAGCGGCGAGCCTAACGTTTACTACCAAAGTATATAGGCGTTAAATTTTTAATGCCGAGCGGATCGATGCGAAATGGGTAAATGGGTGCGTTTTTATCTAATGTAGTCGTACGTGAATATTTCAAAGCAAGGCGTGGTAGCTGGTGGGTTCGTGTCTGCATAAATTGTAGCTCTGCTGTGCATTAGGTTCAAATAAAGCCGTTGTATAACGTGAGTGACATTTATAGCACTTCGTGATCTGATGAGAAAGCTACAGTAGGCAGAATCTAAACTGTATTAGCTCTTAGTAATGCATATGTGAGTTCGAAAGGAGTGATTTCCTTTCGCCATCGTAACTAAAAGAATTTCGGTAAACATTGAAAATTTCCGAGTAAGCGCCCGCACGAGTCGTCGTCGTCGTGGAGACGACCGCTCGCGATTCTGCTGCTCTGCTCGTCTGCCACACCTATCTAGGCTGATGGATGTGACGTCATACGTATCGTCACACCAACCTCGTCCGCCGTGATGAAACGTCGCTTGCTTCTCGTTGACGCGAACGCGCGAAATCGCGAGAAATTTTTCCGACACGCACACATGGCCACGTCGCGCGATTCTGAAATGCTTTTCGCCCGAATCGCATGAATTTTTCCCGGTTCATTATAAATGGAGGCGGACGGCGGAGAGATCGCGCAAATTGTGCCATTACGCCGTAAACGCAGACAGAACTCCGCCGCGAAAGTTTTTCGCCACCGCACGAACTCTGTCGTGGAGTGCGCGAATTTTAAACGCAGTCATTTTAACGCAGGAGTGCGCGAAAATGAACCGTTACGGTATATAAACCGTGCAATAAAGGTTCGAGCTGGCGACTTTCGTCGTTGCAACGACAGGCCTTGCCACGTATATATGTGACTCAGACCATGCCAGTGCCTGCGCGATGGCGGTAAACGCATAATTGGACCATGTCGCACTCCGACCCGAATTATCATAACGGTTAGTCGAAGCAGGAAAATATCGGACGTTGTCACTAATTGGATGCTCGTGAAGAGCGCAGTGCGGGTGTTAGGGCGGTGCGAGGGATTTAGAGCAGTGGAATCGGCGTGGTTTTTTGGAGGCGAGGAGGGAGGTTTCGTAATGTAAGGGCTACTGTTTTTTTGTGGGGGGTTGGTTACGGAAAGGAGGGAGCGGAGCACTTCTAGTTGCACTATCGAGACAGGGGGTGGGTCTCTGAAATTTTTCCAAATGTACAATTGAGGGGCAGATCCATGCTGTTGCCGTGTCAAGCGCAGAAAATTTCGCGGCAAGGGAAGTTACAGTGTGATAAATATTTCAATTTATCATTCTTTGTAAAATTTTCTACTTCATTTAAAATTTCGTCAGCTTCAGTACGATGGCAAAGCGAGTTTAGTTGCTCAAACAACCGCGGCGCCCCGCCTAATATTCATCCCTCCACCGACGCTCCCCCAGCTACTCTAATCCTTCACGGTAAATTTAAATGTCAATGGTTACACAAAGGGCCTTTTATAATCGCCTGTCGGAATCTGAACGGCAGTCTTATTGTGATTTTAGGTATCGGCGTGTTAAACATATTTCCATTGCGCTGCTGCTGCCGCCTCCGTTGTCGACACGATGAGTCATTCATTCACGAGCGACATTCTAGTGCGCCCCTTACAAATATCTTGAGCACCCCCGCACCATAATGGCCCCCTATTATACCGACGTGTGGGTTTTTCGCTGCTGCTTACGCGTATGCCAGTTTCTGGTTGCATAATAATGAGGTCGGGGGTAGTGAGGCATGCTCTTTGTGTATGTTGTGAATTCTGTGTCAACGCGGCTTCATTCTCGGCATGATTAGGATTGTTTTTGGACGATGAAAGGGTGTAACATTCAAATATAAAGCCAACACAGGCATTTCAAATGTTAAACATTTAAATGTTCATTATGTGGAAAATAAAATAGTAATAAGTGGGGAATGAACTCCCACTATTAGTACACGAGGAATCAACTCCTTTTATTAGTACATGAGGAATAAACTCCCTCTATTAGTACACGAGGAATCAACTCCTTTTATTAGTACATGAGGAATAAACTCCCTCTATTAGTACACGAGGAATAAACTCCCACTATTAGTACATGAGGAAGGAACTCCCTCTATTAGTACATGAGGAATAAACTCCCACTATTAGTACATGAGGAATAAAATCCCTCTATTAGTACATGAGGAATAAACTCCCACTATTAGTACATGAGGAATAAACTCCCTCTATTAGTACACAATGAATAAACTCCCACGATTAGTACATGAGGAATGAACTCCTTCTATTAGTACATGAGGAATAAACTCCTTCTATTAGTACATGAGGAATAAACTTCCTCTATTAGTACACAATGAATAAACTCCCTCTATTAGTACACAATGAATAAACTCCCACTATTAGTACATGAGGAAGGAACTCCCACTATTAATACAATGAGGAATGAACTCGCTCTATTAGTACACGAGGAACAAGCTCTCACTATTAGTACACAGGGAACAAAGTCCCACTATTAGTACATGAGGCATGTACTACAATCGCTACTAAATTGCATGAGGCAAAATCTCTCCATGCTGTGTGACATAGCCAGCTGCGGTGGGTGCGAAATATCAATATCGGTCAGATGGTCATCGTCATTAGCATATTCTGTTTACCTACTTTCCCTCTCTACCCGGGCTACGCAAGCATCAGCTGTTGCCATAGAAATCGATTCGCCGTCTGCTGTTTCACCTCTGTCTATTGCCACTGCTGCGAAGTCGGAAGTGGTTGCCATAACGATCCCTTCTACATTGTTGACTGCCGTCTTTTGCTACTGCTGCAAAGTGGGAAGCTGTTGCCATAGGAATCCTATTCATCGTGTTTGACCGCTGCCTCTTGCCACCGCTGCAAAGTGGGCAACTATTGCCATAGAAATCCCATTCATCGCGTTTTACTGCTATTCCCTGCCACCGCCGTGAAATGGAAAGCCGTCGACGCGGAAATCGTTCCGCACTTATTCTCCGCGGTCCATCGCACGCGGAAGCGGGAAGCTGTTGCCGTAGTAACGCGTTCGCGCATCCGTTGTTGCTTGCAGCCGAGACCGACAAAGGGTAAGATGAGGATTCACTGCCTGGAGAACGTGGAGAAGGCGCTGCAGTTCCTGCGGGAGCAGCACGTTCACCTGGAGAACCTCGGAGCGCACGACGTAGTCGACGGCAACCCGCGACTCACGCTCGGCCTCATCTGGACCATCATCCTGCGATTCCAGGTAGTGAGCGGGATTTCTCCGGGCCTCCTCCCAGGTCCCGGGTCTTCCCATTGCTGGTTTGCGCACGGAAACCCTCCCGCGGTGGTTCCCTGCGTGAAATCGTCCCGGCTGCCGGTTCCCTGTTCCGTGGTTCTACGTTGCATACGCGACTCATCTTCTTGTGGTTCCGGGCGTGGAATTATCCCGATTCTCATGTCCCTGTTATCCACCCGTCCCTCTAAGTGAGCCTCTGTCGATTACCAGTGTCAACCCCGTGTCGTTTGGACACTTGCTCCCGGACGCCACCTGCGTTACCACCTCGTTATTCCGTGTTAACCCTTCCTTCACTTGTCTGCTTTACTTCCAGGCTCTGTATGCACCCTGCCCAACACCGGACCTTCATCCCGATTACCCAGGTAAAACCCGTCTGCTTTGATGTATCCCCCTCCACCCATCACTGTTTCCCAGTCGCTGAAACATTGCCACCCACTATCAATCGATTCACCGCCAGTGTTGTATGAAGAAGTCATGAACAAAATAAATTCGATACCGTAGCAGCAATACGATCCTCTCCGTAAATCCGCGCGCAATTGCGCGTCTGAGCGAGACAGTTGTGTGGGTGCATTGTGTCGAACAGTTTTCTTAATGAGCATTCGCAGCAGATGCATGCATTCATGCACACACACTACAGCCAAGCATGCAGAAACTACACCCACTACTTCCTCTACCCCCACCCCTATGCTCACGCAATGTTGCGCTCCCCCACCAAGGACATCCAGGACATCACAATAGACGCATGCATTGCACAATACACCTACGCATGCCCAAGATTGCACACGACACCCACTCATCGACGCACACACGGACACACACTCACGCACGCAACACCACGACATCACGCTACGCACGCACACACGACACCCACTCACGGCACGCACAGCAGGGCCCACCACCACTCACACACGCACACACCACACCCACTCACGCAGGCCACACGACACCACTCACGCACGCACACACCCTACAGCCCACTTCAACGCACGCCACCCACCACACCCACTTCACGCACGCACACACACACCACACCCAGCTCGATTGCACGCCACACACCACACCCACTCTACGCACACGCACACACACACCACACCACACTCCATGCACGCACACACACCACACCCACTCACGGCCGACGCACAAATGCCCCACCCTACAACACCCACCTTCACCGCTACGCACACACACACCACCACCCTACTCATGCCACGCACACACACCACACCGCAGTCACGGCGACGCACAAATGCCCCACGCTACCAACACCTCACTCATGCCAACGCTAGCACACACCCACACCCACGTCACGCCACGCACAAATGCACCCTACACACCCACTCTACGCACGCACGCAAGATGCACATGTGATACCCACTCACACACGCACACACACTCACAGTCACCACTGACACCCACCTCAGCAGCACAAATACACACTACTCACCCACTCGCACGCGATGCCCAAATGCAAGCCAACACACCCAACCTCACGCGTGACTGCACACACTCGGGCAGCACGTAAACACCCACTCACGCACGGCAACCAAATGCACCGCACTACCACACCCCACTCACCGACCGCCAATTGGCTCCAAATGAGCCACACGACCACCCACTCCATAGCGACGCCACCTGCAGCGACACCCTACTCAACACACGACCATACACCACACCCATCTCACGCCCCACGCAGCACTACGACACACACCGCACTCGACTGCACGCATACACGCACACCCACTCGACGGTGCCGGCGCCACACTCCTCACTGGCATGCGCACGCCGATTACAACACCCCACCGCCGCACTCACGCCACGCATCACTACACCCACTCACCCGCACGGCATACAGACACACCCACCTCTAGCGCACGCACCAACACAAACGCACACGGACACCACACTCATTACACGCACACACTACACCCACTCAACGCACGCCACAAATGCCACACTACACTCCTCACTCATACACTGCACACACGATCACCACTCACGCACGCACAAATGCACACGACACACTCACACGACGCTACGCCACGACACCCACTCACCGCGCACAAAATGCACCCAACACAACCCACTCACTGCACGCGCCAAATTGCAACACTAAACAACCCACTGCACACACGCCCAAATGCACCCAACACACCCCCTCTACGCCCGCACAAATGCACCCAACACACCCAACTCACGCCATGCCCAAATGCACAGGCTAAACACCCAACTCACACAACGCAAATGCACACTAAAACGACCATCAGGGGCACGCACACCAAACACACCCCACTCAACGCAGCGCACGCACAACGCACACGACACCCACTCCATACACGCACGCACGACACCCACATACGCACGCCCAACATCACACTACCACTACACCACTCATACTACGCCACGCACCGGATCACCACAACTCTCGCACGACGCCCAAACCCTCGATCCCACACTACACACCGCACTCATTTGCACGCATCGACACATCCACTACACCCACTTCACGGCCACGACACAACACGCACATCTACAGCCCAAGCTCATGCACCCGCATACAACCACACCCAGCTCAACCGCGCACCGCGGACAACACGCAGCACTTACACGCCACTGCATGCACGCAACACACCACACCCATCTCACGCACACTACACCCCAACTCATGCCACGCACACACCACCACCCACTCAGCGCACGTCACAACGCCACCACTACACATCCACTCATGACCACCACAACTACAGCCCACCTCACGCACGCACACACCACACCCCACTCACCGCACACACAAACGCTACACTACACTCTCCTCATGCACAGTCTCCATTGACACCACACCACTCGTTCCTCCACCTACACCTCTATGTTCTCATGCCCTGACATCTGCACTACGTTGCTAAAACCGCTCACAATCCCAGGACATAACATAACACCTCACGCCAGCGCCTTCCCACGACGCAGATTTACTCACACATAGTAACGCGCCCGAAGACTACCTTGCGCCAGCAACGCCACACCCAGCGCACAACGTAACAGGCGCCCACCCTCCGCACTCCATCCCTCCACCTACCCGACTATGCTTTACGCGAACACTCTGCGCCCGTCCCCCATCACAGATTCCAGGACATCACGACTAGAGAGGACGGGTCCGGACAACAAGGAGACGAACGTGCTGCCGAAGGATGCGCTGCTGCCTGGGCGGGTCAAGATGACAGACGGCCGGGCTAACCCGAACGTGAACGTTGCGCAACTTCACGACGACTGGCGCGACAGGCCTCGCCAGTCAACGCCTGCATCACAAGCACAGGTAACGCATGCACGCACGAGCCGTACTGCCATGAATCGCCGCCGGGGGTGGGGGAAGGTGGAGAGTGGGGGGCGGGAGGTGGTTGAGTTGATTGGGATAGGGGTAGGGCGGTCGGGGTGGGTGGTTGGAGGTGCTAGAGAAAGGGGAGGGCTGGTAAGTAAGGTGCCGTGAATGGGGCAACGTAGGTTGGGATAGATGGTGAAGGGACAGGGGGTAGGTAGTGTGTGGTGAATGGAGGGGGGAATGAGGGATAGATGGGTGGGGGGGTGGGGGGGGTGTTCGATGTGAATGAGGGTGGCGAATGGAGGCGGATAGATGGTGGGCGTCGGAGGTTGTGGTGTGTCAGTGAATGAGGGCTGGGGATCGGAGGGGACTAGATATATGAGGAAGGGTAGGTGCGCGGTGTGTGGGATTGACTGGATATTGAGGTATGGACACAGGGGATGTGGTGCTGTGTATGTACAGCGTGGAATTATAGGCGGTAGGCGCATGGAGGATGTTGGGTGCGGCAACGACCGCTCCATCATGTGGATCTACACAGTGTGGATATATGAAGGCTTAGGGTTAAGGCGGGAGGGATTCGGGACCTGTGATCGAGCTTACAGCTGCTGGATATTCAGCGCGGTAAGAGGGAGGCAGATGTGACGTGCCTCGGCCCCCCCACCGCACTCACCCACCCCGCCCAACACACTTCCCCGTGTGTTCACAGGTGGATATAGGGTCATGCGCATGGAGGATGATGGGCTGTTGTGAGGTACAGGTTGACTATAGGGTAGTGCGAAGGAGGATGTGGCGGTGTGTGATTACAGAGTGGATATAGTGGTTATCGGAAGGAGGATGTGCAGGGGTGTTGTGTGATACAGTGTGGGACTATAGTGGTATGGGACAGGAGATGTGGGGTGTTGTGATCTACAGGTGGATACTGAGGGTATGGAAGCGAGGATGTGGGGTGTCGTGATTACAGGTGGAATATAGGGTTATGGAAGGAGGATTGTGAGACGTGTGTGTTAGCAGGTGGATATAGGGGTATGGAGGAGGATGGTGGGTGTCTGTGATTACAGGTTGGATATAGGGTATGGAAGGAGGATGGTGCGTGTGTGCTGCATTACAGGGTGGATATAGAGGTATGGGAAGGAAGGATGTGGGTGGTGTGATTACAGGTGGATATTAGGGCGCTATGCGAGGGCAGCGGATGTAGGTGTTGCCATTCACAGGTGGGTATAGCCTTAGGGGTATGCCCGAGGTAAGGAGGCTGGGTGTATTGTGCATTACAGGTGGATAATAGGGTGATGGATGGAGGATGGTGGACGTGTGGTGATTACAGTGGATATAGGTATGGTAAGGAGGATGTGGGTGTGTATTATCCAGATCGTGGATATAGGGTTATGGAGGAGGATGTCGGGTGTGTGGATTACAGCGTGGACTCTCACGCGTATGGAGGGAGGATGTGGGTGTGTGATTACAGGTGGATATAGGGTATGGAGGGAGGATGTGGGTGTGTGATTACAGGTGGATATAGGGTATGGAGGGAGGATGTGGGCCTGGGGCATGTGATTACAGCGTCGGATATACGGTATGGATGGAGGGATGTAGGTGTGTGATTACAGGGTGGATTATAGGGTTATGGAGGGAGGTATGTTGGGGTGGTGTGACTTACAGGGGATATAGGGTATGGAGGGAAGGTGTGGGGTGGGTGTGATTACAGGTGTAATATAGGGTTATGCGCCATGGTGGATTGTAGGTGTGTGATTTACAGAGTGTATATAGGGTATGGATGGTGGATGTGGGTGTGCGATTAGGGGATGGGGTGGGAACATGATGCTAGATGCGGGTGTCAGCATTGCCAAGACAGGAATCCCTTCTACTGAGATGGTTTCAATGTATAACTGCCACTTAAGGAAACCGCCTAAAATGTCCTTTATAGACAGGAATCCCTTCTAGTGAGGTGGTTTCAATGTATAACTGCCACTTAAGGAAACCGCCTAAAATGTCCTTTATAGACAGGTGTTTGTTCCATAGCGATGGTTTCTCTGTATAACTGCTACTCAGGGGAACTGCCTGAAGTGTCCTTTATAGTCAGGTGCACGTTCTGTAGTGGTAACTGCTAACTCAGGTTTTACCGTATATGTTTATTTGTCAGGGTATTAGTGTCAGATGTGATGAATATCACATTAGTGTAGGCAATGTAGTTTGCTAAATGTAACGTGTATTGTAAAATGTAAAAAGTAACATGGTTAAACACGGTCAGCTGTTTGCAGCAGCACTCTAGATTGCTATTGAAAGTGGCAGGAGGAAAGAATTTTATTTCACGTAGGATGTAATTATCCTACGAGTACTCACCATAATAACTAGTAACGTAATTTCAAAGACAGGTCCACGGCTAACTTTTTTGGCTTCATGGTGCATAATAGCAAATTAGTGTAATCTGCAGTGAAGGTGGGGTGGCTCTTCCACATCTCTTCACACGTTTTGAGTAGTAACACCGTTGGTGTGGTTGCAGGCCTGATCTGATCAGGTACGAGTCGCTAACCAAGACCAACGCAATGCACAACATTGGGAACGCCTTCAACGTTGCTGAGGACAAGCTTGGCATTATGAAGCTGCTCGATCCAGAAGGTTAGTGAGACATGCGTGGTGCCATCTAGTGAGCAGAATAGGTGCTAACGGTCATCTTTCTTGAAGCCTTTTTACGAATGAATTTGCTAACCGTATCTTAGAGTGTTAGATGTAGAAACGACGTATGTGTCAATAAACATATATCTATGGAGCAGAATAAAATTTATAACTGTTTCTAGTTATTATAGTGTTATAAGTAGACTATAATAGGTGGTAACAAACGTATTTACTGAGAAAAATGAAATTGCCAACTCCTACTAGTATTATAACTAGAAACGAATGGTTGCTAACAGACATGTATATATTCATGTACAGAGGACAGAAGCATCTGTGTATGGATAGGTATCTGTGGTGCGAATGCGGATAAAAAACTTATGCAATAGCAGATGTAGGGTTGACTAATTGTGGAAAAGAATGAAATAAGTGACTGCTCTTAGTTGCAATAGCACGTGTTCATGTATGTATGTATGTATGTGTTAATGTATGCATATGTCTGTGTATTTGCAGATGTGAGTGTAGACTATCCTGATGAGAAGTCGATCATCACCTACGTGGTTGCCTACTACCATTACTTCTCCCGCATGAAGGCGGACACAGTACAGGGTAGACGTATCGGCAAGGTAAGCTGATATACAATGCAGCGCCTAATGTATGCAACGTAACAATTGATATATATATATATCTATATATATCTAGATATATATATATAACATATATATTATCTGGTCTTGATGGGGAAAACTAAAGGGGGATGGGGGAAACGCCGACAATGATAAAGTGTGGCACCTGTGTGTTTCATTTTAAGTAAAATTCCATGGTAAACAGCTGGCTGACAAGGTATTACTGCATTCTGGGGCATGTGTCCGATAATCAAAGTTTAGTACCTGGCCATTTCCTGGCCTCTAACCATTTTCAAAACTAAATTAGTACCCGTCTTCTATCTCTTTTTCCCTATCCCGCTCCCGCTCCATCTCCCTCTCCCTCTCTCTGACACTTCATCTCATCCTCTTCCTCTATCTTCCTCTCTCCCTCTCTCCCTCATTCCGTCTCTTCCTCTCCCTCTCTCCTTCCCTCTCTCTCTCTCTCTGTGTCTCTCACACAGACATACACACTCTCTCTCTCCCACCTCTCGCTCTCTCTCTCTCACCCACACGTACATACACACACTCTTTCTCCACATCTCGCTCTCTCTCTCACACACACGCTACATACACACTCTCTTTCTCCCACTCTCGCTCTCTCTCTTCACACACACGTACATACACACTCTCTTTCTCCCACTCTCGCTCTCTCTCTCACACACCGTACATACACACTCTCTTCTCCCACCTCTCGCTCTCTCTCTCACACACACGTACATACACACTCTCTTTCTCCCACCTCTCGCTCTCTCTCTCACACACACGTACATCACACACTCTCTCCCCCCTCTCTCTCACACACAGACATGTGTGGCCATTCTTCGACACTCTCTCTCCCCCCTCTCTCTCACACACAGACATACACTCTCTCTCTCCCTCTCTTTCACACACACACACGTACATAACACCTCTTTCTCTCTCTCAGGTGGTGGACTCTGCGATTGAGAACGAGCACATGATCACGGAGTACGAGTCCATGACCTCTGACCTGCTCGAGTGGATCAAGGAGACGATCGTCACGCTGAACGAGCGCGTCTTCTCAAACTCGCTCAACGGCGTACAGCATCAGCTGCTGGAGTTCAACACCTATCGCACCGTCGAGAAACCGCCCAAGTACGTGTGACCGCGGGGAGGAGGATGGAGGAAGGGGGGAGGGAGGAGGAAGAGAGAGCAGGAGGGAGGGGGGTTAAGAATGAGTGGTGGTGTCGTGTGGAGGGAGAGGGTCGGTGGCGTGCAGGAGCAGCTGCTAGAGTTCCACACCAACCGGGCATTAGAGAATCCCCCTCTTATGTGGGGAGGAAGGAGGGGAGGAAAAGGAGGAGGGAGGGAGAGGGAGCCGGAGGCAGGTACGGGGTAGGTAGGTGGCATGTAGCAGCAGCAGCTGCTAAAGTTAAACCCCTACCGCTCTGTCGAGAAGCCTCCCAAGGTCGCACCTCCCAAGGTCGCACCTCCCAAGGCATAGTGCGAAAATTCGATTGATTCGCGCGTCCGTTCGCTAATCCATGGGGAAATTTTTCCTTTGTCTTACCTACAGGTTCGTGGAGAAGGGAAACTTGGAGATCCTGCTGTTCACGCTCCAGAGCAAGATGAGGGCGAACAACCAGAAGCCTTACCTCCCCAAGGAGAGCAAGATGATCTCCGACATCAACAAGTCATGGGAGAGGCTGGAGAAGGCAGAGCACGAGAGAGAGCTGGCACTGAGAGAGGAGCTCATCAGGTACGTGTAGCGAGTCTGGCGCGGCGTCTGTCTAGCTGCATAACTACAGCTGCGATTGACCTGCCTAGACTGGCACCCGATATATTGTTCTTATGATGGCTGTGGGAGAGATAGATTGGAAGGAGTATGGGTTTTGTTAAAGTTTAAATTTTATGTTCACACTGGTTAACTTTTTATCTATCCTTTGTCGGTCTCAATATTCACATCCCCTTATATTCATGTCACTTTGCCCTTTATCTTCATTTAAATCCATATCTTTGTCTCCATGTCCAACCCTTGTCAAATCCTGTCCATACATTGTTTTTTCTTATCTGTGCCTTGGTATTGTATGTCCATACCCATGTCTTTTCTTGGTCATGCCATAGTTTTTTCTTGTCCATGCCTTTCTCCTATCCTCTCCCTGCATTTTCTCTATTTTCCATGGTTTCTCTCACGGTCACACCATTGTCTTGTCTTGTCCATGCCCTTGCCTTTGTTTTGTCCTATCCTATCTATACCTGTCTCATCTTTTCCACGCTTTCTCTGATCTTGGTCATACTTTTGTATTGTGTTGGCCATGCACTTGGTCTTGGTCATACCCTTGTCTTGTCATATCCATGCCCTTGTCCTATCCCGTCCATGCATGTCTCGTCTTTTCCACGCTTTCTCTCATCTTAGTCGCACCGTTGTCTTGTCTTCTTGTCTTCCCTTCATGTCCTTTATCTACATCTTAACATCGGCACATCAAATAAAATTTATAACTGTTTCTAGTTATTATAGTGTTATAAGAAGACTATAATAGGTGGTGTTAAACATATTTACTGAGAAAAATGAAATTGCCAACTTCTACTAGTATTATAACTAGAAACGAATGGTTGCTAACAGACATGTATATATTCATGTACAGAGGGGAGAAGCATCTGTGTATGGATAGATATCTGTGGTGCGCATGCGGATAAAAACTTTACGCCAACATAGCAGATGTAAGGTTGACTAATTGTGGAAAAGAATGAAATAAGTGACTGCTCCTAGTTGCAATAGCACGTGTTCATGTATGTATGTATGTATGTGTTAATGTATGCATATGTCTGTGTATTTGCAGATGTGAGTGTAGACTATCCTGATGAGAAGTCGATCATCACCTACGTGGTTGCCTACTACCATTACTTCTCCCGCATGAAGGCAGTGCGAGGGAGGGGATCAGGGGGAAGGTGCGTGCGAGGAAGGGGGTCAGGGAGGTGTGTGTGAAGGAGGAGGAAAGGTGTAAGGTGGGAGAGAGGATGGGTCAGCGAGAAGGTGCGTGTGGGGTGGGTGGGTCAGTGAGAAGGTGCGTGTGTGAGGGAGGAGGGGGTGAGTCGAGGCGTGGGTCAGTGAGAACAAGAATTTGGTGTTGTGAAGCCTGCAGATAAGGACATGTTCCCAAAAGCTCCAAAAAAATTGGCAGCAAATTTTTACATAAATATTTTTCTATATAGGTGTCCATGTGGTGTGTTTGTACTTATGAATATATATATATATAATATGTATATATACATATATGGCGTATGTATTTGCAGGAGAAGCTGTTGGACACGATGATCCCGGGAGGAGAGGCAGACTACGATGAGCTCGCCATCATGAAGTGCAGGTTCGAGGGATTCGAGCACGAGACCGCCGCCAACAAGGAGCGGGTGAGTCAGCGCCCCCTGGCGGGCGAGTTTGAGACGTCGCCAACCCGGCGGGTTTGGTCGCCGGTCGTAAATACTCGTCACAAATCTCCGTCGGAAGAAATTTTTTGGTTCGTAGAGAAAAGGAGACTTGAGGCTGAATCCTTGGTTGCTTGGGACTGTTCTTGGTGAAGTGATGATGTTCTTGTGTTTGTTCGGCAGGTGGACACGGTTAACGAGATCGCTAAGCAGCTGGTGGATGCTGAGAACCCACACGCTGATGAGATCGTTGCTCGCCAGGGCCAGGTCAACCAGAAGTAAGCACCGTTATATATATATGTATATGTATATATATAAATATAGATATATATATATATACCATGAAACCACAGCACTAGTGTTAACGTATGAGCACGGAGCCAACTTAACCAGAAGTAAGTACTGATATATTATATATACACCATGAAACCACAATCATAGTGTTAATGTAGGAGCACAGAGCCAGATGAGCCAAGCATAAGCAGGTGTAGTGTATACTTAAAATGACACTACGAGCCGCGATGTTAAAGCTATTGTAATCGTTTCATGTTTGTGCGAAAGTTAGGTTGGCCAGAAGTAGAAATGCCCTATAGCCATGAAATCATAGTGTTAAACATATCTGCCCTGGGGTGGCGTGAGCATGGAGCAAGGTTAACGCTATCACAAGCGATCCCCGTGTCCGTGCCTCTCAGTTTATAGACCCACAGTCATAAACACTGTTGTTAACAGTAGTCGAGCTATACATTCGTGCAGAATTTGTTTGGTGTGATTTGCTGGTGTGATGCCTTACCACCAGTTACGGCTTGCATTGCTCTTGAGTTAGGATGACAGTGGCATCAGGTTATAACACTGCTTTACACACCCAGCTGTATTAGCAGCTACATTTAGCAGGTTGCAGGCACATATATTTCTTGTTTCCAGGCGTGGCACATTTCGATGTCGGTAGTTGGGTAGGAATGTTTAAATTTGTACCTAATCCTGACTTTGCTAATGCCGACACTTCAACAGACGTGCAAACCATCCGTGTGATAAAAAAAATCTAAGCAAAAGCTAGGATGGATTTAGGATTTTAGGATTTAGGATTTTTTTAGGATGGATAGATCTCAAGGTGGTGTCTACTGGGTGAACGATAATTGCATACATCTCGCTTCTCTCGTTCAGTTTTGTTCTGATCGTCAGCAAACGCTCGCGTACTGGTTAGTTGGAAATTTCTCGCTCTATCTTCGCGTTTTGATCTTTAACGTCAAAAAACGAGGCAGCTGCCGCCCGCTAACATAATAAATACCCACCAAATGTTTTTCACTTCACGGCATCTGTCGCGGAGGCTTCTGAGCATCTAGCCACTATCGTTTTCATGGAAAAACGCACCACGAGCTTGTCTTTTTCGAAGTGTTTGTTAGGAACGCACTTGGTTCCGCGAGCAGCCGAGTTTCCGGGAAGGCTGAACGAGTTTGTTGTAGGTTGGCGGTCGGCACAAACTTTGATTACGGATGCGTGGGAGAGGTTCATAGCTAGCTGTTGTGGCTTCTCCCCCAGATAGCATCTGGTCGTGATGACTATTTGTTCACGTCTATGTAGTTATGGGGGGTTGTTTACTGTAAACAAACCTGGGTGTAGGGAGTCCCCCCCCCCCACGCATACCTCACGTTTTGATCATGTTCTTATGATAGATGTAGTAAGCAGAAGAGAAGGCGAGAGAGAGACAAACAGACACACACAGACAGACAGACAGGCAGGCAGGCGGGCAGGCAGGCAGACAGGCGGGCAGGCAGGCAGGCGGGCAGGCAGGCAGACAGATAGATAGCAAGAGAGAGAAAGAGAGGGAGAGAGAGAGACAGATAGATAGCAAGAGAGAGAAAGAGAGAGACATATGGCATATGTTCCAGCCTCTCACTCATACTCTCCCATGACTGTTCACTCACAGCGTTGTCGCTGTTTCAGGTGGTCGGAGCTGCTGCAGCTGTCGCAGCAGAAGAAGGATGACATCAGACAGTTCCACGGCGTGCAGACCTTCCACATTGAGACCGAGGAGACCATCGTGAGTAGTGCGCCCTCCAGACGACCTTGTCATTGACCTTCGTCGCGTGTGCGTCACCCATCGTGGCTTCGACGTCGTTCTGATCACTCGATGCTGGCGCACGTTAATGTGACGTGTCCTCAATGCGTTTTTCGTTTTTACGTCGGCCTCGACGCATTATCGTCGATAATCTCGTCATATTCTCGCTTTAATATCGGAGCTTTTTTTTAATCTTGAGGGGTTTCGTGTTAATTTTGATGTATTTTTTTCATCGTGAGTCTCTCATCGCGTTGTCGTATTAATTGTTGGACATGCGCTGATCCGTATTCATCACTCGACTCTGTGCCGGCTTGTGGTAATCTCTCATATCAGTGCGATTTCTTTGTAATCTTAATGTTTCCATCTTAATCTCGTAATATATTTTCTCATAAATCGCTGTTCATATCGCTGTTATAATGTTTTCATATCGCTGTGTCATTATCTTGCTTCTATCTCCCTCTCTCTCTCTCTTTCTCTCTCTCTCTCTCTCATTCTCTCATTCTCTCTCTCTCTCTCTCACTCTCTCCCTCTCTCTCACTCTCTCTCTCTCCCTCTCTCACCCTCTCTCTCTCTCTCTCTCTCTTTCTCTCTCTCTCTCTCTCATTCTCTCATTCTCTCACTCACCCTCTCTGTCTGTCTTTCTCTCTCACTCGTCACTTGTCTCTCTTCCGCAGACGTGGATCAATGAGAAGTGTAAGATCCTGGAAGAGACGCAGGAGTACGGCGACGACCTCGCCGGGGTCATGAAGCTGCAGCGCAGGATGAGCTTCATGGAGCGCGATCTCAAGGCCATCGAGGACAAGGTCAGCCCACGACCTTGCAACCCCCGTGACCCTTCCTGCGACCCCACCCTGCGACCTTGTCTTGTGGCACTGTACGACCTTCCTGTGACCATGCGACTTCCCGCTCGCTTCCAGTCTCCTTGCTCGTGTCCAGTCTCCATCTCTCTACCATCCTGTTTCCTCCCTCTACTGCTCTTTAATCGGCTAGTTTATAGGTTTAACGGTCCACCATGTCTTCTATAATTTCTATATACTGGAATTAATCCAATACATGTCCATGTACATTTACACATACATATGTATATATGTATATGTACATGTACATGTACATGCGTATGTGTGTGTGTGCAGGGCACGAAATTCTGATTTGTTTGCACGGGCCCAGAGGGCTGGTAACAGCAATTTTTTACCAGCCCTCACCATAATTTACCAGCCCTCACAAATTTTGTATAAAAATCAATGTCATGTTTCACGCTTGCATTCTCGATTTCAAATTTGTAAAATGTTGATAAACTATTGCGTGATATCCTTCAGGTAAAACAGTAATATAGGCTATTGCTCATTAATGCTGTAAATAAAAATGTAGGTACGCGCTAACACGGCTGAAACCACCGGCTCTGAGGACCGGTGATTTGCCAATGTTACCGGCCCTCTAAATAATTTGCCGGTGGGCCAGTGCTTTACTTGTATTTACTTGTACATATACATGTGAATGTACATGTATATACATTTACTTGTACATGCACATGTACATGTACGTGTACATGTGCATGTACATGCGTACACATGTATATGTGTACATGTATATACATAAATTGTACGTGTACATGTGCATGTACATGTAAATATACATAAATTGTACGTGTACATGTACATGTACATGTATATACATAAATTGTACGTGTACATGTACATGTACATGTATATACATAAATTGTACGTGTACATGTACATGTACATGTATATAC